ACTATGTTTTGATTAAATAATTTTTATTATTTATATAATTAAGAGAAAGTAATCATGATATGTAATTATAATTTGTTTGAAAGTGCTGATGATAATAACGATAAACTAATAGAGTATTGTTAAAGATTTTACTTTTGATGCAATCAAAACTTCGCTAGATTGAACATGACAAATGTTGATGATGCAATTAATGAATAAAAAATTCAAATCTGACTCAATGAGTGAAATCAAAAAGGTGAAAGACATAAAAAAGTAAAGAATATGACCTTCGCTCTCTTGTCAAAAATCGCGATTGTCTCCAAAAAAAAATTCGATTTTGAGTTTTTTATATCGTTGGATAGGCATAGTTGTCTACTTTCGAAAATAGTTTTATTTATCGGAATTCTGATACTTTTTTACGATTTTACACAGGATTTACTCATGATGCTGGAATTAGGAAAAAAGAGTTTTTTTGAAATGCTACTTATTATTGCCTTTTAAACTTTTTCTAAAGTTTCTCGCAGTGAAGAATCTAATAAGAATGTGTGAAATAGCGAGCGCTGCAAGCCTTCAAACAAATGGATTCGTGCTCTGTATTTCTTTTCCTACCAGTGTTCATGTAATTATATAATTATTTTGACAGTGTTATGTCAGAAGAGACACCTTTTCACATAACTATGTGTTCTCTTTTCTTTCTGTCTTTATTCTTTCATGTTTATTATCAATCCTTTCTTCTTCTTCTTCTTCTCCTATTTTGTCTATTTAAGCAGCCGATATTGTTGGTGTGGATGTGAATGACTACGATTGGCTGTGGATGGGTGACATGACTCCTCACACTCATATTTCATCTGTTTTTTCTCTTCTCGATTCCGATTTTTAGATGCTGTACAAGTACACGCAAATATGTTTTTGATCCGCTATGGTCAAATAACACATGTTAGACTACAATCGATGCGTTTTCTCTATCGTTTTACTAAATGGAAACATTGATTTTCAATGGCAAACTTTGTTTGGCATATTTTTCCCTGCAGTTTTCAGTTAGATCGGTTGTTCTGGGACAAAAAATAGATTTTTGACGGGAAGGAAGCGGGTGCTTAATTTCAGATTGCTCTACGTAAAGAAAGTTAGCAGTGGATTCGAGTGTGTCTTGGCGATGCTTGTTCCTGAACTTGTATTGAATGCAAAAGTAAATTCTGCATCGGATCGTGCTACTTTCAAAGGAGGTTATCCAGAAAAAGCTGGAGTTTGAAGTCAAAATACTAGAATTTCGACTCTGTTGTGGTAGTAAACTTTGACCGATTTCATTTGTAATTTATGTTAACTGTTTAAACGACAATGTTAGACGCAAAATTTCTTTTTATATGACATAGAATCAGTTTTGACGGATGTTGCAGAGCTAAGCCATCATTTTTATCGGATTGCCCGCACTATTATTCTCATCTACGTGTCTGGATAATTGTTGAAGCAACTTTCTGCATCTGAATCTCTATTGAATGTTAAGCTTTAATTCATTTGAAATATAGTCACCTCTAGAGGACTTGAAACTAGGCGGATTGATTTTTATCGGCCTTTTTCAATTTTTAGGATACTGAAGCTAATCTATTTTTCTCGTTTTTATTGATTTTCATGGCATTATCAATCTAGAAATGTGAATCTGCAAGTCTCCAACTAACAAATTTCTTGTCACCATCAAAACCTCAGCTCTTAATTTTGAAGTCACATATATTTTCATGGTACAATACAGGCCTTAAATCATGCTGAATGAATTCATTATGATCATGAAAAGCTAGTCAATCATTAGAAGTTAAATTGTATGTAAAGTACAGATTTTTCATCTGGAAATCTCGATTTCACTTTTCGGAGCTACTTTTAAGTGACTGTCAGAAAATTTCAATTGCTGGTCGTTTTCAGTTCATTTTTTCATTACAAGAGTATCAGAAAAAATTTCGTTGTGCTTTGAAAGTTATGCAAATGCTAGTCTGAGGCAACCGAGAAAATATTTAGGTATTGAAAAATCTAGCAATATGGAGTCTAGTATAAAAGCCGAGCCTTGTGGCTCTTTTTTTTTATTCTTTTGGCAGTAATAGCTTAATGCAGATTGAGAAGTGTTTTGGTTGCACTAAATAATGATTTCATATAAGAAGACATCAAAGTTATCAATTCTCATAAAGAAACTATCTTTAATAGAGAAAATCAAGCAAAACAAAAGATGGATATTGTCAAATATCAGTTGTTGTGAGTTACTCGATGAAAAGTTTCCAAAGAGTTCTTTTTTTGTTTTGAGTGTTAGCGTATTTGGAACTCGAGAGATTAAAATAGAAGCTCTTATTATTAGAAACTCCAAGAGTTATATGAGTATATGATATTTTATGTTTTCATGAAGCCATAGAAATAAATTTTATTTCGAAAGGACTATTTTTTGATTGATATGTTAAACACATCGATTTTTCACCAGTTGAATCCTGTGATTGAACCGGTTGGTCTGGTTCGATTAAAAAAAGTTTTATCGGTTCCAAGTCTGATTCAACTGCGCAGTTCAAATCAACAGTGAGTGTATCTCTATAGGAATCGACTGGTAATATTTGATAGAGAATTAAATTCAGCATCTAACACAACCAACAAGAAATCCAACACAGGTATACGATGCTCCCTTTAATAACGTAAAATATTCATGTCTTTGCTTTTTACTTCTGACTTACAGTTTTTGTGTTATTAAAGGGCATTCAAGATTAACTATGATTATTACGAAAAAGAATCTTTTTTTTTGGAGAAAAGAACATTCATTTACTTTGTCAAGACTTTTATTTCTTAAATTATTTTTCAAAGTAGGATAATATTTAATGTTATTCAAATAAATTTCATTTTATCCAATAGTTTCTATGCAATTATTTTACCTTTTTCTTTTTTTTTTACAAAACGTAAACTTACGATCGAAGAGCTCATCTATTTGCTTGTTTAGTATGAAATATAATTATATAATTTTATTGAAAATGAGTTTCTCATTATTATAATGATTATACAGATTTAGCAAATCACATTTTTACAGAGACAAAAAAATCTATCAACATGTTTTAGATCGTTTTATCTCAAAATTCAAATCAACAGCGCCTATCATATTCTACCATTGAGTGAGAATAAAAGAAAAAAAAATTTTTTGTTATTATTTATTGCATAAGAGTATTATTAAACAAGTTGAATTACTTTTAGTTAATCAAAAATAAGAAATGCATTGTAAGAAGAGTAATACTAGTTTACCATAAATCATTTATTTGGAAGAAATTTTCAACATTTGTCTCAGTAAACTGTAATCAGTTTAATAAACAAATTTTTGACAACAACTTCAATTAATAATAGCTAATTTAAGATGTATTCAATTACTTCCAGATGAACAGTCTGATTTGCTTTTTTTCAATTTAGAATAGATATTCAGAGAAAAGAAGAACTTTCTCCAATTGTTTTTATAACTTTGATCAGCCTCATTAAATCCTTATTTGTATTTATTTATTCTATTGAGTTAAATTGAATACACGAGAAAAAGTAATGTTTCCTTTTCATCTATTATTTAAAAAAGAATTTTAATCAATAGATCATTTTCGCTAATAGAAATCCAAATGATAATAGATAAAGCTTGAAAGAATTATTCTAAGGTTTAAATTTTTATTTATTTTCTATTGAATAGAAACCTTATTCTTCCATTTAGACGGTATACAGAATTTACTGTCCATTGATTACTTTTCAATTTTAATTGCTTCTTTCCTCGAAAAATAAAAATTTTTTGCTGTCAAGGATTTACTGTTCGTTGATTGAAAAAGAAAATTTCTTCCAATTAGTCCTTTTCTTGGATGAGGATTTACTATCTATTGATTAATTCGAAGCAGACAGATCAACAACAGAATAGTCAGTGAAATTATCAATGTATTATCAACAAAAAAATCCAAGAATTATATGAACAAATAACAAAAAAAACAATGAATAAATAAATAACCCAAGAAAGATAAACGAATATTTAACTTTTGGATGAACGTTGGAAGTATCGAAACCCAGCAGCTTTTAAGAAGGAAGGAATATCAAGATGACCTTTGTCATAACGTTGTCATCATTTTATTAAATATTCATTTGTTGTAACTTTTTTTTCGACGTTTTGGAGTTGAAGCACCCATAGAATCTCTTATAATCTTGCAATGGATGCTAATAATTGTTTCTTTTGAAGTAAATCAATTGCAACATAAATATTTGGATGTGGGGCATTTACATGTTTTTTTCAGCTACAAGTGACGGCCTTCTAAATAATTAATAGTACGTGGTAATATATTACGATAGTGGTTTAGTGGCGGAGCCAGGGGGGGCTCACCCCCCCCCCCCCCAGAAACTTTTGAGCCCTCCCAGGAAAATTTTTAAACCATGTATTTTATTTACTAACTGGGGCTCAAAGGTCCCTCAGAGGGGGTTGAGCCCCCCCCCCCCCTCCAGTTCAAAATCCTGGCTCCGCCACTATAGTGGTTATACATATGCGGTGGAAATATTCTGAATGGTCCGTAAGTATTATGATAATAGTTAAGAAAATCTGGAATACATGGATATATACAGGTTGAGTATGAATTAAATATTGTAAACCCCATAACATATGATTTAATGATAATAAAGATAATACTGCCAAAGACCGGAACCAATCACGAAGATTTTCATCATTTTTATATGCCGTTTTTAAACCAAGAGCGACAAATTTACGATGTAAACTTTGTCCATAATGAAATAAATAACCACGAAATGTAATAGTTGGATAATGTTTTGTAAATACATTTTTGACAGCCTGTTCAAAATCAATTGTAATCGTTCTCAACCTAACAAGTAAGTCGAACTCGAACATTTTTTTAAATATCAATGCAAATATATCAGTATAAGTTTGTTCAGATTTACTACTAAGTAATGCGAAAATGCATGGCGTTGATATGCCATCATAGTAAACATGAATGGAATATGTTTGATAAAAAATAGATGGACAGATATAAAAGATATCATTACTACCAATTTCCCTGTTGGAATAGATAAATCATATCATTATAAGCAGAAAAAACAAGTGGACGAACATCACCAAGCCGTCCATCATACAATAAAAAACGTTCACCTTGTGTAGTTTTGCAATAATCATCTGGTAATAAAAACGGCAGTTGTTCGATGAATCTAGGAAGTGGTGAACAAGTCTCACGATGTTGTTTTTGTACAGTATTTTTAATTGTATGAATTGATGGCATATTTATAAGCAAATCATTAGATTGGAATTAATTATTAATTGCATGAAATGCTTCTTCGATTATATGATCAATTGGAACAGATTCGTCAATATCTTTGCGTTTAAGATTCTGTTGTATTTCTAATATTTGTTTATCGGTTTCATCAGGTACATGTGTATGTTTATCACGTACAGTTACTGATAAATCTGAACAACTTGTAGCTGTTGCTTGAGATTTAACACATATCCAGTACTCAGAACCTTTTTTATTCTTACGTTTTAAAGAATATCCATAGCTGAGGTAACATAACTGTCGTTTACCATCTGTAGATTCAACAAATGTAGCAGACATTTTTAGAAAAAGTACGATAAGAAAATTCTTAATCTCTTGATTTATACATTTTTACAAATTTTATTCATATAAATGACTATTTTTTTCTCCCCTAATCGACTCTCCACAACGAAATCCCTCGAGAATCTCTGTCGTGAGGCTCTGTGGAAGTTGCATATCTCAGAGTCCCCTAAAACTCCCCGGGGAGTCTCCAAATTTTAGGGTGTCCCTCTAAAATTTTCATAAATTTGAATTTTTCAGAGAATTCCAATGGTGGCTTCTGGAGAGACCTTGATAATACTCATTAATTCCCTAGGGAGTCCATGAATCCTCTTTTAACTCCCTCAGGGACTCACGACAGGAATTCCCCCGAGGATTCTTCTGGGGAGTCTCGACTAGGGTCTAATTTGATGATCATTGTTCATTATCAATTGAAAATTTAGTTAATTGTTCCCATCTTCGTGAATTTCTTTTTTCATTAGGAACATTTATGCGATTTTTATTTCGAAAAAACATTGATGGACGAAATGACTACTCATTTATTCATTTATCTTCTTCGAATTAATCAACGGACAGTAAATCCTCGTGCAAAAATAACGTTAATTGGGATAAAATTGTTTCAGTCAATGAGCAGTCAATCCGCGGACAGTAAATCGTGTACACGCTTGACCGACATTATCGGGAAGATAATTAACAACTACCGTCAATGAAACCGATAACATCTGAGAGATCCTATTTATGCTAAAAATTGAATCTTCAAATGAAATCATATTCACAAGTCCATGAATAAGTTTTTTGTTTTACTCTGATTTATTGTTTTCTCTATTCTATTCAAAGGTCTTTCATGTAAATTAGCGTCCAACATGATCTGGTCAAGTACGACTTGGATGACAATGAATGATAAAATTGATCAAGTTATTATTCTTATTACAAATGTTATCAAACTGTAACTTGCTTCCTTCGTCAATGGAAATATTGACAAATAATTTTATCTTTTCGTTCTTGTTTTATTGTCGTATGTGTCAAACTAGAAACTTGAATAATTCAACTTCAAGTATTTAACTACTTAACTGTTTTTGTTTTAGTTTAACTAAACAACTTTCTTCTCATGCTAAGGATACCAATGAAACATACATACAAGACATCTCTCTCAAAGATTTGAATAGCTGAATTGAAATTTCAATACTTGAGGAGTAGTTGCTCAATTGAATTCAACTTTCAAGTGTGATACTATTGATAATCAGTTGGCATACATATTTGCGATATCAATTTTTTCCTCGATCCTCATTATTTTTATATAACACCATTTTTGACAACATTCTCATATCATCGTAGATGAATCAGACTCATGAAAATTGAACACAGAGAAAAGACAAGAAAATATCACATAGAGTTACTATTCAATAGTTTCCTATTATAATCATTCGCGATTCCTACCTTTTGAATTTAAGCAACTAATAAGTTTTTTTGATAATATCTCTTTGAAACTGCATTTCGTAAGAAGTTATCATATAGATCAATAAATGATTCACATACAGAACCATTTGAAGAACGTTTCTATTAATGTATGCACGTGATTTTCATTTGTCAACATAGAGTACATCGAATTATGTGCTGATGGTAGCTGTTTTTTAACGATACTAATACGATCTATTAAAAAAAAACTTCAATAAAGGAAGAGATCTTTGCAAACATGATAATTGTATTAATATAATTCCTGAGAAAATTTCTGTTAATGATAGAGAAAGCGCGCTGCATTTTCCAATTACTCGGAACTAAATCAACGCAACAACAAGCTTTTTCTTTTTATTTCATTCTTCTTTACTTCTTTGTATATTAATTTTAGATATTAAAATCATTTTTCGCTGAACTTTAGCAACAGTGACAAAAATGATCACTATTTATTGAATTTATCATATTTTCACTCTATATCTAAATATATACGGTCGATCAAGTCAATAGAATGGCAATTTTTATTATTTCTTTGCTTGCTGCTTTCGGTGTTGTCATGGTCATTATTCTACTTGGTCTTTTTCTGTCACAAATATTTATCAAAAGAGCTGATCAAACTCAAACGCAAACAAATATTATATTTGAACAACCACAAGGTATAATTATTGATATTGACGAATTATCTGAAGTTCAACAGGGACCAGGTATAACTGTTATATCGAATGATGTAATCGAAGGTATATCTCATCGTCATTATCATTTAACGAAAAAAACTGTATCAGTCATTGATCAAGATGCTCAAATCAATCATATGAATAATAAAAAAACAACAATAAAACAAATACATGCTAATAGCAATTTAGCAATACCAACTAAAACTGGCAGTGATGCAATATCATCAGATACAAGTATCGTAGATCCACTTACAGACAAGATTACATTGGAATATTAAAATATTCGAAAGATAATTTTATATCAACTCATTTATCTTAATAGTTTGAAAGATGAAAGATCCAACTTTGTAGCACTGAAAATTGTGCTTTTTCCTCTAAATTCGGTTAAACAATGAAAAGAAAACTAGTAAGATCATTATTTATAAGCTTGTTTATTTAGAATGAAGATCTGATAGTTTAAGAAAATGCCTAATACTAACCATTTTCAAGGAATAACATGCTTTATTATGTCGAAAAAGAAAACATCTGTTGTTATCAAGCAATCATGCAATCAAACAGACTAATACATACATATAAAAGTCACCATAGCTACAACTAAAAGATTATAGATGTTATAAATGAAAAAAGAAACATGCGAGATTATTTATTGACTATGAAAAAGTGGCCCAGATGTACCCTCGAAAGAGTTGTCATGTAAAAAAAAATAAATGCCAATCAAAATAGCTAATATATATTAATGTTTCTTGATTGATACTTGAGCTTTTAATGTTCTGCGTTCACGCTAGAAAGAAAAACAAAAGAGGAATACAAAAATTCAATAATCTATTTTTAATTGTATTTTTCTTACTTCAAGTCTTAAAGCTTGATGAGATTCATAGAGATGTTTATTTTTAGCAATTTGAACTTCCGCTGGTGTGCTTGGGATAGCAAAACTAATAGCAAATTTCAATGCTAAAAGAATATGCTATAACAACAACAAAAAAACCCACATATTTCATAAGAGAAAAAAAAGAATTATAAAATAGCTATACTTCAGCAGCAACAAAAATTAGAAAATATTCAGCATCTGTATATGATGAAAAATATTCACGAACTGATGGTTGCATTGCAATTAATGCTGTATTAGTAACAATGGCGATTGAACTTAGTATATCAAATGCATAACGCCAACTACCTATAAATACATATTTAAAGAATTTTAACGATAGAACAAATTTACTGACCAATATTCCAAGCACGTTGAGCAAATGGACGTTGATAGACATGACAATATTTAAAAGCATCAGCACGAAGTTCAAATATATTATTAATTAATGCACAAATTGCGATCCATGGAAAGACCTAGTGAAAACATAATAGCTAACTAAGAGTTTACTTCATGTGTAAGTTTGGTATCAACATTATTTTTGAATTATTGTAATGATCGACAACATCAGAAAAAATGAATACTTTTTTTTGTGTGAGCTGACCTAAGACAATCTGTTTTGTAAATCGAACTTTTTTTCTTTCTCGAAAATGCATCTAACAAAATCCTTATGAAATTAAAATGTGAACTATAATAAACTCAAATCTATTATTTAACGAGCATCTTTAAATATACAATGTTACAGTATCGACAGATTATCTTATCCTAACTGTGATAAACATTTTTGTTAGTGTCGTCATCAAATGAAGGCTAGAGAATGCTCAGCTCCTTCTAACAACAGCTGACTTCCGCTTAAAAATGAGATCTAATTCTTCTTTAATAAATGGTGCAGAGTGCAAAAAAAACTGACCCCCTAACACTTTTTATTAATATTGTTACAGTTTTAAAATAAGTTAACATAATAATATATATGTAGTATGTAGTGTAATTAATTTGTAACTTAATGCAATAAAACTAGAAAATTATTTCATTCTCTCTCAATGAAAATAAAGAAAGTTTGAAATCGAGTCGTTTTTTGAAAATTCCTGATTTTAAAAAATTTTCAACAAATTGTTAACAATGACAGAAGTTTCACAAATTATAATAATTCATATACAAAATAACCATTCCATTACAACACGTATCTACAGTCTATGTTATTCACTCTACTATTTCATATAACTTTCATCAAGAATACTTTGACTGTTAAAATTAAATTTTCCAATATATGATAAAGAAATAGGTTCACATAGATGAAAAATAACAATTATTCTTTGATTTAAATTTTAAATTGTAAGATTATATAAAACTATTCATGTATATATTGTACATTCACTATTGTTACTGTTATTGTATAATTCAGTTCTTTTGTAATTATTAATTAATATTTAGTTACATTTCAATCTCGAGGGATCAGTATTTTTTTTGCACTTCGTACTAATCTCACATTCTTCTATTAGACTTACTGCCGAAAATAAAGCAACATAGCCATATTGTTCAAAGATGGTCAAATAATCTCCATATGTTCCCTAAAAAATAGCTCATATATAATTTAAAATATCATCTGAAATCAATTTTTTTGTAGTACGTCAAATGAAATTAATGTTTTTGCTTGTTTCACTGCATCACTAACTTGACCAATTTGTGGTTTTCCTTCAGTTAATTGATTTCTTTTAATACGTTTCAGTACGTATGGACCAATTTGTTCAGTAAATTTTAAGAAAATAGCATTTAAAATAACCAATGATATAAGTAACTAAAATAAGTATATTTAAATTTTTCAAAAATAAATAAATTCATTTCATTACTTGCACAACATTTCCATAATTAACATTAAAAAATCCTTCATAAAAAAGTCCAATGAAACAATTTATAAAATAAAAAACAAATAATTTCGATGTTAAATTATTTTCATAACCTGTTTGAAGACGATGATTTTCTAAAACAATCAAAAAAACAACGAAAAACAAAGTAAATTTCTAATTTCTTATATCATCTTTTGTCTTTTACCATAATCAGTCAGATATGTAGCTATTTTTTTATAAATTAAATTCATTGGAATAATAAGTAATGAATAACCAGCTGATGGCATTGTACGCATAAGTTTAGCATGAATAGAAAATAAAGAACTATCTAATGGATAATTATTATTTGTTTTTATTTGTATTCGATAATAACCAAAATAAATCCATAATGATAATGCTAAACAACACATTACTACTGGATAAGTAACTAAATATTTTTTTAATATTCGTTTCCATCTAAATAATGAACGAATTAAGAAAGTTAACATTACAGAAGTGCACGGTTACTCCTATCCTTCCCTGCAGGCTAGGGTAGAGGTTCTACAGGGCAGGATAAGGATAAGAAAATTTCTTTCATCAGTGTATAAAGTACGAGAAAAGCTTACCCTACAATCTCTAATTGATATAGAATTCGTATGTTTTTTTTTTATTCTTACCTTGGATATACTCGTTCTGGTTGATTTGTTATTGGTGAAAGTTGTAAATCTCCATAGTAGAGTGAACGGGGACGTTCAAAGACTTTAAAATCATATGAACCCCATTGATAAGCAAGTTTATTACTCAAACGTTTCCATTGTTCCATCTAGATTTAAACGATACACGTCTAATAAAATAGTTTATAATAATTACTTACGAATATACTCCACCAAATAACATTAAAAATACAAAATAATGAATATTTTAAAAACTCTGAACCCGGCCAAATACTAACCAGAAAACCTTGAAAGCAAAAAGAAATTAAATTAAATTAAATTAAACTAAACCAACAAAAAGAAAAAGAAATTCACCAAGTATAGATGTAGGTATAAGTGCTTTTGTATAAAATTCAAGAAATGCAAAATAATATGCAACATTTTCACCAAAATAATTTCGAATTTTATCTATTAAAAAAAAAGCTTATTAAAATTTACTTTGAATTGTTAAGCACAATTCTTTTACGAATATCTTGTGATTTAAAAAATGAATGTGTTGACATGAACCAATCATGTTCCATTAATTTAATTGCTTCTTTATCATGTAATGGAAAAACACTAATAACAAAATCAAGGTCACGTAGAAGACCAACTAATAAAAAAACAATGATGTTAATTTTATTTTTCAATTAATTTTACATACGAATTGTATCATTATTAGGTGTTATTGATTTTGTAGGAACACCCGGTACAGTATGTTCATGTTGCATTGGACGTACATTTTGTATTTCATCCCAAATAATAACTTGTTTTTCAGATTTAAGTAGAAAATTATCTAGATTTTCTAATAAATTAAAATATGTTGTTTTTAAAACAAAAAAGAATAGACAAAAATTAATATTTGTACCAGAATTTTTAAAATTATGAATATCCGAAATAAGAAATTCATGTAAAGTATCATTTTTATACGGCTTTTTAATTCGTAATTCTTCAGCACCAAGTAATAAACGATCTAGAGTTGCACCGATTAGAAGAATATCGTTCTAATAGAAAATAAAGAAAGTTAATATGAAAAGAAGATAAGTTACTTACATGACTTTCAGGATCAGTATCATATCGAACAAGTAAATCAGCACCATCATCTTCATCTTGTCGTGCAATCAAGCGTTTAATCACCCAGTTTTTAGTTTCATCAGGTGTTGTAGATGAAAAATGAAGAACAACAAGAGGTTTAAAGTCAAAGTTGTCGTACAGTGTCATTTGATTTAAAATTTAATAGATCTAAATAACTATATTAAAAATCTTAGATTAATTTAAATTTTCAAGAAATAAATCAAATTTAGTTTATTAATTTAAAGACAACTTGATTTATTGAACTGAAAGTATATTATAAATATTGAAAGATCTATTCTCAATGTAAAACATTATGAATTATTTTAAAATAGAGACTAAAAGATCCTATATGATTTAAACCGAACTAAAAAATCGTCGGTAGATTGTTTGGTATAATTTGCACTATACCGATGATAACACTACTAGTGATGAATAGTTACCACTATATCGACAATCAACCGGTAGTAGTTGTATGCTTTATCAGTTGGCTATCTTTAGACCACCATTCTATCACGGTATACCGGCAGTAGTACGAAAAAAACCGTTAATATGGGATCAGAGCGATTAATAATAGGATATATTAACAATATCTGGCTAAAATGAAGGAATAATTAATCACAGAAGTGTCTTGGAAACTTAACTATAGATAGTTTCTTCTTTTATGAATGTGAGAAAACAATAGAACCGTGTAATATATAATCAAAACAGAAATGAGTTTCAGTGATAAGTTTATCACTTCTAATTAATAAATCAAATAAATAGATGTAGTCATATGTCAAACTAATCTTTTAATGAAGACACTAAAATCTACTTGTATCAGGCTCATGACCACCTATTATTGACATTTCAATGATTCATATTCGATTGCCATAAATAAATATATTAGATTTGATTCGTCGTTAGAAAAATCCCATTTATTTACACTTATTCGACTCGCTCAACCGAGCATCACATCGCAATAGTCTCTAAAATGACTCATTTCTACATGTAATTAGTCGAATATCCTCCAATCGAAAGAAATGATGAATTTCTAGAAAAATTTTTCTAAATTAATTAAGAAAATTTATTTATTGATAAAATTTATTTATTATAAAAATCGATCTTTTTCATAATTTCTTCAATCAAATCAAATCGAATAGACAATCAATCCATAGTTTACCTTCAATCGAATATTTCTCATATAAACAATTTCCATTTGTTTTGTATACGATTGTATTATTATATATAATTTTTTGTTAAAAATCTGCATGTGATATTCATTTATATAAGATAGATTAGTGGATACTTATTCTGAAAATAGTATTTCGTTGATTGATGCAGAATTAATTTTATTTGTATTTCAAATCAGTCCAATGATGATAACCGACGATTGAAGAACATATTAAACGTGAGACGAACGAACAACTACTTAATTTTTCTTGTTTTTTGAAAAAAAAACAAAGAAACACGATTTTTTATTTTAAATTTAAGCAGCAGCTCGTTCGTCTTATGTATGTGGGTTCTAATGATATCGATTATGAGATCTGAGGACTTGATTTAATCATATTTATTTTATTAATAAATGAAAAAAATATTTTATTTTGTTTTGATAGATCGACATCAGAAGAGTCGAAAAATAAATAATGAAACACAACAACGTTATTCCAAATGCTCATTTCAATAAAAAGTGGCAATTACATGTACGTACATGGTTCGATCAAGCAGCTCGTAAAGCTCGACGATATCGGAAACGTTTAGTTAAAGCCCAACGTGTTGCTCCTCGACCAGCTAAAGGTTCATTACGTCCTATTGTTCATAGTACAACACGTCGTTACAATATGAAAGTTCGTTCTGGACGTGGATTTTCATTGGATGAAATACGTGCTGCTGGTCTTCATCCAAAATATGCTCGAACCATTGGTATTGCCGTTGATCATCGACGACGTAATAAATCCACTGAAGCTTTTCAAGTAATTTTCAATTAAGAAGAAAATATTCATTTAATATGATTTTTGTTTTCTAGCTTAATGTTCAACGTCTAAAACAATATCTTGGCAAACTTATTTTGTTTCCATTAAAATCTGATAAACCTAAAAAGAACGATGCTAAACCAGAAGAAATTAAATTGGCTGTACAACTTAAAAAACAACGTGTTATGCCAATTAAACAACTAGTCAGACGTGAAAAGGCTCGACCAATTAATGATGCTGATACTAAATTTCAAGCTTTTCAAGCTTTACGTATGGCTCGTGCTGATGCACGATTCATTGGACAACGTGAAAAGAAAGCTAAACAAGCAGCTGAAGATGAAAAGAAACCCAAGAAAGAGAAATAAATATTTTCATTTGTTTTTGTATCCTCTTATTTGGGTTAACAAGAATTAAAATAAAAAGAGAACAACATTCAACCGACCAAACTTATGTCGGTATATAAAAAAAAATATTTATTAAATTCTTTTTATTTAATCGAAGAAATAAAAAGATAATTTCTAATTTAGACAAACATCTTTGTTTTTTGAAAGGTTGAAAATTTCATGATAGAAAAAAAAAAAGAAATATTATTTCTCTAATAACAGACAAAGATCTCAA